GTAAGAATTTTTCATAGCATTTTGTGTGCATATCTCTTTCTAGGTATTTATTACAAGTTTTGTAAATATTGATGAAGTCTTGCATTATTCTAAACAGTACCTTAAAATTCACATTAATCCCAATGATGATGTGATTATTACAATTTGGTCTTCTATTAAAATTTGAAATTACCAAAATTTTATTTATTGTTAATGTTGTATATAAATCCAAGGGTTCTCAAAGTTTTCTTTGTCAGTTTAAACCTTTACAGTATTGGGAATCATACAAGATTCTCAATTATACTCTATCTACTTCTATATTGCCAAAATATAGAAGTGTTGGGAATTACAAACAAATAAAAAAGTGAGTTGTATAGAAACAAAGAGCTCTTTTTTTTGTTTGAATTCAACAAGGACAAATTCTATGGACTCAGAATAACAGAATGGTTGTAAATACAAAAAGTGAATCATGTTAATAGGAAAACTTTGTAAGACAGGTCAATAAATGATCGCATGTGTGACAATGTTGCTTGAAGCAAGAGTCTGTATATGTGTTCTTTGAAAAGGAAAGTCTGTAACAATAATTGTACATATGTTAACGTGACTTAAGGGAGAGAAAGGAACCAAGCAAATGAAAGTAATGAAAATATATACTCAGTTATATGTGTGTTAGAAGTGCCTATGTGGTGGTTTGAAGACTGTTGTGCTGCTGCTGTCAAACAGGAAATAGACAACTTCTAGTGCTCCTTCTACTTAGTGTTGACAATTCTCTCCTTTAAGTAGACCCCACGAGGCTCAACGGAGCTAAGGGCATGAATTTTATTTTATTTAAAAGGAAATGAAAGGAATTATTTTATTGTGTCGAAGATGTCACACTGTATGCTTTCAATTATGTCTGCACTGGAAATATAAGTCTATTTGAATTTATTTTGGGCTGACTAAAGTTGAAAGATACATGTGTGTGAGTTTCAGTTCACCCATATTTAAAGTTCCAACAACAGCTAAAATCCACCTTGCTACATCTAGTTCTGTGCAAAGTGAGTTCCCAGAATGTTGACAGACTCCATGAAGGAGCAGAGAATAGTTGCTGTCTTAAAAAGTTTTGGAGCTGCACAACAAATATAGTAGCATAGGACTGATGAGATATTTTACCAATATGGCATTATACACCATCACTGATAGCCTTTAGAAATTCATGTTGAGGGTAGAGTAATTTATCTCTGAAGATTAACAAAAACTTCCAGCCTAGAGGCAAATGTATAACAAAAAATATTAAAATATTCCAATTACAGATCATTAAAATATTGTGCCTAAACATTTTTTTTATTAATGTTTACCCAATACAAGGTTAAAGACTCATTCAATGTAGAGGGCAACTGAAAGAGTTGTGTGATAAGAACATGTGGAAGGAGTAGGAAGTGAAGCTTATGAGGACATATAGGATAAATAATGATTGACCCCAGACTTGAATTTAGTGTTTGGGAAATCATCCATTTGAGAGAGGGTTTCACAAAACATCAGTTCTTGGAAAGAAGCTGCCCAAATGGTATGTTCTTAACAATAGAATAAATTGGGAATGAATGATTCTTTTTTTCAGATGAAAACTGTACACCTGAAGAAGTTTCTAGAATAGATTAACTAAAATGTTATGGTAACAAACAGATAAAATATAGCCAGAATAAATGTTGAAATGGTGAATCTTATAATTAAATCAAAGTTGTGTTCTGTTAGTTGTAAACAGAAAACTATTGACGTATTTCAGATGTTAATCAAAAGGAAAACGAAAAGAAAGGATGTGTTGTAAGCCTTTATATTTGATCATATTCTCAAGATTTTAGATATTGAAAGAAGTAAAAAAAAATGCTAATAATAAAATAGAAAAAAGTGTTAATTTATTAAAATTCAATTTCTATTTTTTTTTTTTTTTTTTTGATGACTCTCAGCTGATTGACTTTTGAATGTGTACAAGTGTATGAGATCTTAATATCAGATGACATTTGATGCCATCAGGTCTCATGGGCTTAATTATGATTATTAAACCAATGATTTCATTATCAATTGGTCGTATCTAATGTTTGTTTGGAGATTAAATTGGCCATGACAAGCAGTGAAATGGCACTGTTGGTGATTTCAAGAGCTGATTAATTTCATATCAAACAAAGTTCATTGTGTCATTTATTAGTGGATTTTTTTTTCCTTTAAAGAAAAGTACTTTTGTTTTATTTTAATCAATTGTGTAAATGAATAAATATTTGGTGTTTGATTATTTTATGCATAATGAATATGTAAAACATTAACTGTTGTGGCTTAGTTTCCAAACATCATTTAGCACAGTGTTAAACTTAGCATTTAATAGTGAAGGTGAACTGAAAATCTATAGCTAATGGCAAAATGATCTTTGAACTGGATATTGGAGAAACTTAGTTAAGATAGCACATCTATTTTTGTAAATGCCATAGAATTGCATATAGAATAAAGCTTTCAGATTAGTTTCATGACATTTTAAGAATTCTTTGGATAGTATTGATTCTACTGAAATAAAACAGTTATTTCATTTACAATGAACTTCATTCAGTGATTATTCAACTTGTGTAGAATGTCCTTCATTGAAGTTTATATTAATAATAACTGAATTTGTGATGTTTAAATAGTACACCGTTAATCAGAAGATGCTCTACTATAGTCACACAGCTTCAAGGGAAAATGGAGATGTTAATGTGAAGTCGGTATTTATACTTTGAAGATAGTAGTGTTGTTAAATCAAGTCTGGGTCACCAGTTACATCTTTTTAATGCCATTATATACTGGTTTGATGATGAAGTAAGAATTGAAGAATATAGGACATGGTGTTAAAACCATGAATCTTATTCAAGAAACAACATAAATTTTATAACAGAATACAAATGTTAAACATCCTGCTTGTTTTTGGTTTTAGTGAGACAGAATATAATATAATCAATGCTTGTGTATATGTATGTATGTATGTATATATATATAGTAAAATATCCCCTCTTATTATACATGTATGGGGGGGGGTGAAAAGTTCAGTTTGACCTACTTCCTAAAATCTAACCAGTTGACCAAAATTATAATGTTTATTTTAAAAGTCAATCCCTGAGAACATTCTGTATTGTATGTATGCTTACTATGTGTGTTATTGACTTTGAGTGATATAGGTGATATATTGAGTGATGTTCAGACAGCATATACTTTTGTGGAAGAAGTTAAGCTGGTCATGATCAGCAGCTGGCAAATATACCTGAAAAGACTTACTAATGGTTTGGGATTGGATATTTAGTTTAAGTTTAGAAACAGGGCAATTGGCTATATGTAGAGTAACTTTTCAAATTGTAGTGTATTGTTACTGACTCAGTGGAAGTAGTATGCACTCAACTGCCTTATGGGTAATAGCCATAGCTATTTATAGTCTTTGTGACTTCCTATGTAAATGAGTCACTTTATCTTCTTGCACTGAAGAGGTTTTGTCCCCTTATTTTACCCTGGTACTTTTACTGGGAGCTTTTGTCTCCTCGCTATCTTCCTCCTTCTCCCTAAGAGATTGTATAGATATTGGAGATTATGATCATTTTCTTTTCTTTTTTTTTTTAAGAGTGTTCCTCCAGTGATTGTTCATCTTCAGAGACTATATCATTCTTGATTTCACTGTCATGTTTGTCTTGCCTTGACATGACATTTTCACCTTCATTACTTTCAGGTTCACTATACATTTCTTCTTCATTATTGTGTTGCAATCTAACTGGGTATGCATGCACTAATATCTCATTTCCATTTTTTCTATTATCATAGTGTTCTGTCACATTGCATTATGAATCTTGCTTCCTGTAGATTAGATTCGCTATTCTTTTTATACCAAAATTTTTCATTTGTAGCGTAGGACATGGTCAATGAGGCTCTAATTTGTCTACCCATGAGGGCAGATAAACTTTTTGATTAAACAATTAACATGGTCATGATCCATGTGTATTCTATCTCAAGGTTGGGACTCTTTTGGCTATGCATGTGTTTTTGTCCAAATTTTCTATCATTGCACATTTTACACTTTTTTATGTATTCTTCTACATCTGTAGAATAGCCTGGCTACCATGTCTCTAGCCTTAATCTCCTTTGTGTAGATGTTATTCTGCAATGAACATCATCATGTATACTTTTTGTAACTTTGCTTCATTCTGTCTCCATTACAAATTACACCCTTTTCTACAGTTAACTTGTGTTTAATTTCTTTGAAATTCCTTTCTGCCCATGAGCAATTATTCTGAATTATTTTTTATCCTGAACAATATACTGTTCAATATGCGATCTTGCTTTGTATCCTCAGCTCGTTTGTCTATTGACAAAGTATCAGTTTTGACTCGGTGTAAGAAAGTATCTTTAAATTTTTCCTACTCTTCCTCACTTTCTCACTTTCAGAAGTAATAAACTTCAATCTCAGCAAAGTGTCTACATGCAGAATGGTATTGTCTTTCATGTACTCAGTATCAAAGTCAAATGTCATTAACATTAAGGCCCATCTTAGAATTAGGATATTACCTTAAGAAGTTCCTTCCTAGGATTAATATGAATTCTAAAACTCTATGGTCAGACCTTAGTAGGATTTCTTTCTGATCAAAAACTGTTAAGCTCTGTTGTCCATATTATGGCCAACACTTCTTTCTCAATATTTGAGTAATTCAATTTGGCTTTGACAATTTTCTTGAAAGATACATAACAGGAGCTAATATTCTTGAAATTGAGTTCACTTGCCACAGTTGTTACTACTATTTCCTTTCTAGGGTTGAATATTTTTACTGCTGGCTTCTTTGTCAGAACAGCTTTTAAATTTTCAAATGCCACTTGTTCTTTTGTTCAAATAAATTTCACATTTTTTTTCTTAAACTAGCAAAAAATTCTGTCACTTTGGAGTATCATTCTCCATATCGTCTGTAGAAATTTACAAGTACTAAGAAAAATTGTAACTCTTTTTTTTTCTTAGGTACTTCAACTTTGAATATTTTATCAATTAA